ATAAACATCGGAAATAGTTTTCGGTTCGGTTACGGTTCCGGTCCATTAGTCTACATAATATTTCGGGCCGGTTTTCAGTTTCGGTTTGACTAAAATAACGGTTACGGTCCGGTTATCGGTTTCGGTTTCAGTCCGGTCCGGATCCTTGGTAGCTACACATATATTTCGGGTAGTGCAAAGAGATATGCAATTTTAAAAGAATTTCAGGAGTTTTTCAGTGAAGAAAAAAAGAAGATTTTAAAATTATCTAACACGAGATGGTTAATATTGCATAGATGTGTTGTTCGAATATTAGAGAATTGGGAAGTTTTACAAAATTATTTTCTTTTAGCACTTACAGAAGATAAATTAAAATCCGTAGAAATAATTTTAGGACAATTAAATAACGACGCAATAAAAGCATATTTGTTATTTTTGAAATATATTTTAAATTTTTTTAACACTTTCAACGCTCTTTTCCAATCTCGTGATATTTTAATTCATAAAATTTTTGAAAAAAGTCGATAACTAATTAGATGTAGCTAGCAATTTTTGTTGTATCACAGGCATTGGAAAATATTAATAATAGTAATGTAAACGATACCAGTATTTGGAAAAATTTTAATCATATATATGTGGGACCAGATTGCGAAAGTTTTTTAAGAAGATTATCTTTAGAATCTGCACACGAAATTAGACAAAATTGTTTAAATTTTTATGTAACTGCACTGCGCGAAATGTTGAAACGTTTACCATACAAAGATGAGATACATAAACAATTAATGTTTTTACAGCCTCAAATTGCATTATATCATGAAGGTAGAACTAAAATTAAAGATTTAAGCTTGCTTGCAACACGTTTTACATATATAGATATTGTAAACTTATCTTTAGAATGGGAAATTCTACCTTCCATTTATACTGATACCGAAAAAATTAAAGTAGCAGGTTTAGAACTTAATGATATGTGGATTAAAATATTAGAAACTAAAAACTGTAACAAAGAAAAAATGTTTCCAAATCTAGAATTATTAGTCAATTCAGTTCTTTCTTTTCCCCATTCAAATGCTGAAGCCGAACAGATTTTTTCAATAGTAACTGATGTTAAAAATAAAAAAAGAAATCGATTAGCAAATAATACTGTTTCTGCCATTTGTACTGTTCGGTTTGTTTTCCAGGCAAAAACATTAATTGTATTACATTTGAAGAGAGTAGATTCCAATCATTTAAAATTACATTCATCAACAACTTTATATAAAAGAAATTTTAATGCATCTGGTAGTTTATAATTTTTTATTTTACTTCTTAATAATTTTTAAGATTTTTT